TTGTTTAAAAAACAAAAATGCATTTAATTTATTTTATACATGTAAAAATAGTTTGTTCTCTATCACATTTTACACACCAAAAAATATTTAGATTACCTTTAAAGGAGAAGCAAAAAATATGACCCCCTTACTTTAAATAAATAGGCAAAGCCCAGCCTGTAAAAGAACACAATGAAGACTTGAGTGTCTTTCTGCGTGCACTGCCAATCTTTGTTCTGTTGCAGAGCTGCATAAAGGATTTTCACCATCTAACACTTCCCAGAGTGTTAAATTCCTGGTCCCCCTCTGCTCTCTTTGGTTTGTTCTACTGACCCCAATGTTACTGCAGGACACACTACTGCCATACGGTCTGCTGGAAGGAACCACAGCACTCAGTGGGGTACCAGCTGCCTGACGCACTGGAAAGTGTTGAATGCTGAAGATTCTTTGTCAGCAGTAGAGAACCAATATAATAATCAATATTCTAAAATGTAATTTTTTTTTTGTATTATTAAAGTGGAACATATTAAATGCCACGTACGAATATTTTGCTTTTTATCTGCATGGTAGTATCAGCTGCAAATCTAAAGTGCGTATTTGGTGTACTTTATAGCACTGTGTATATATTTCATATACAGACTAGTATTTTCACAATCCATTCCCGTTCAAACATAAACTCTGCTCCTGTTGAGCAGGTTACTCTACAGCCGTGATGCATTATTCTCAGCCTTGTTTATTAAAAATAATAATAATAATAATAATAATAACAGTCATTGCTGTTCTTTACAAAGGGCTCTTAGTGTTCTAATTGCTGCAAACTGTGAATTCAGATTTAATGCACTATAGGGTAAAATTAAAAGGAAATTGAGTCTCTTCACTGCCAGGCAAACTCTCTTGTTGCGTTAATATAATTTTCTTTTTTAGAACAGAAGGAATCTTAATTTTTTTTTTAATATATACAGCTTGTCTGGCCTTGTGTTCAAATTCTAAAACAAGAAGCATATGCTATGTTTAGTATCTATTACACCTTGGCATTTTCTTATGCAAATGCAAAGACTGCCATTGCAGACTTCTTGTTCTGAAAAAGCTAGCTGTCTGACTGCTGTGCTGATTCATTGGATTTAAGGTGACTGTAATTTAAAAAGTTGTGGGGGCTGCTTCCATTTGCTTCCTTTTGAAAATGTTAGTTGCCTGGCTATATCTGATTTCTATACGTTTGAGTCACAGATCTGGAATAAGCATGCTGTAAATGACTGTTAGAATACCTATCTTTATATCTGTTGCAGCAGGAGAGCCAGGGATCTCCCAATAAATCTGGACAAAGTTGAGTTCAGCAATGGCAGCCTCCATAATTTTTCCATGAGGTGAGAATGTGTTGAAACCACCACATCAATGATAGTTCAATGGGAGTTCAAGTAGATCAATGTATATACTTCATATAGAATAATATGGGATAAATCAGCAAATTAGTTTTTGTAGGGATGTTCAGTTAACAGTGCCGATACTTGCCATTTTCACAAGACCTACCAGGGTTGCAGCCGGGACCTAGCTCTGGCGCTCCACCAATGTCCTGAAATGATTAGTCTGTATTGTTTCACATAAACTGTCACATGACCATAAACAAAAATGTACTTGTACCAGTACTTGTATCTGTGAGTACTTGGACAAGTATCCATGCTTGTACTTGGAAAAAATGGTATCGGTGCATTCCTAATTTATATTTTAAAAAAAATCATACATTAAAACAGGGATGCACAAATCCCAGGAGCTCTGCATGTTCCTTAAGAATGACAGCTGCCTCCTAACTTTTGAATTTCTCTCTAGTCTAGTCTTGGAGCTGGAAAAGTATCGGTAAATGCACTTGTACCGAGTACAGTACTTTGTATCTGAACATTCCTAGTTTTGTGGGCTCCAACACTCCCCTCTTCAATAGGGCTAGCTTATTAGGGAGTGTTGGGGTCTCCGAAACATGTTGGCTGTTTCATCATATGCTACTCTAGAACGGAGTAAATATATCAAACAGTCAACATGTTTTGGAGGGTCCAACACTCTCTAATGAGCTAGACCTGATTAAGGGGGGAGTATTGGAGCCCCCAAAACACATTTGGCTGTTTTATACCAGGTTACTATAAAGTAAGTAAATCATTCATCTTGGACTCTACAACCATTGGTATGGAGCTTTCAAAACTTTCTCAACTCTTTATCCAGGGTGCCACATTTAGAGTAGCCTTGCCTTGGAGAGCAGCCCAACCAGATTCAGTAAGCTCCATCAACTTAATTTGACTTATAATACGGGGTTATTATAGTGAAGGATCCAGCACCTCTTACCCTCACTTTTTCAAAATCTTCCATGACTGGATCCTGTTAATGCATTCTGAGTGATGGCACGTAACAGTTACGCAGAGGTGTGAGAGACCTCACTCTGTGTTACTGAATTAGAAAGTCAAAGAAATAACATGACATCTAGGCAGTTGGCATTTTCACAGTGAGGTCAACCACAGCAGTCAATATATTACTCTCTATCCTATGATATAACCCTTTCCTAGGAATATAAGCCGAGTACTTACAAATGGTGTCAATAGGCAATGAGCATGAAGTTCTACAACAAATAAATCTGTATCCTGTAAGTCACCACTCTTTTTATAGAAGAACCAAACTATTGTATTCACAACTAAAGCCTAATTAAAGGAGAACTAGTGGGTTAAGGCTTTTCCCCATAGTTCTCCTTAGGGTAACGGGAGGACACAAACTAGCGTTCTCCCGTCACCCTAGGCTCAGTATACCGCGAGCTGTAGCCCGCGGTATACTGAGACGCCGCAGTATACCGCGAGCTGCTGCTCGCGTTATACTAAGACGCCGCAGGTGAAGCGGATTCCGACAATTATGTCTGGATCCGCCCAGCTGCGTGACTGACAGTTGGCTCTGCCTATCTAGAGGCAGAGCCAGCTGTACCCTCCCCCGTCCGTTCCGCCAGTCAGTGCTGGCAGATCGGAGCGGGGAATCCAGCCCCTCCCCTGTCACGGCAGAGAGCCGTGACAGGATCGAGAGGTGAGCGAACGCCGGTATGTGTTCACTCACCTCCCCGATCTACTGAGCCGACCTGTGACAGTTTCATTGTCACAGGTCGGCTAGAACTATGAGGTGAGTGAAAAGCACTTGCCTCATAGTTCTCCTTTAAGGCACAGTTAAAGCATAATATTCCATAAAAGCTAGTGCTGGGCCAACTGAAGTTTTGGGCAGATGTCCACAGATTTTAACACCTTCAAGCTGCTTCTAACTCTTTTGTGACATCCGTGGCAAGTTGTTTGCATGAAGTTCCCAATTACAGAATATTTTCTGCTCTATAAGCTGAGCAAGATGCTGAATTCTCAGACTAAAAAAAACTGCACCAGACATGAGACGTACAATTAATTCTGCAGCAAATTTGCCAAGTACATATGTGAGGAGCAAGGCCATAAAGTCACGTATGTAAACTGTGTTTATGTACTATTTTTGGCCTACTTGCTGACGTGCGCCTTTTTTGCCATGGTTGACTTGACCTACAAATTGTCGTAGAAATGGTGCTTGTGTAGGTTTTTATTTTGCCTTGCTTGCATACAATTCATATAGATTTTTAAAACCATGGTTCACTTGGTGTGCAAATTGCCAAGTAAAAGAAAAAAGGATCTTAGTTTACGACTGTGTGTCTTTCTTTCTTCTGACAACAAGAACGGTTTATACATGTACTCCACACCTTTCTGCAGCACAGTGGATAAAAGTAGAAGTGTCTTAACAAAAGTGTGAAACTCCACATCTACAGGGCTCTAGAACCCTAGGGCCTATTTACACTACAACGCATGTGTTACTTTGGTCAGCCTTTGGAGGCCATAGGATATAAGGCAGATTGTTTTTTTTCCTTGTATTGGGCAATGCTCCCCAACACTGATGGAGTGAACGAGCCTCCAATGAACATTGGCATTTCATTCGACCATAACGAGTGGCGAAATTGTCATAATTGAGGCTGTTTAATTCTTCCGGACCATATTTAGCACTGCTAAATATAATGAAATAAATGTGGAACCCATTTAACATGAATGGTCATAGTTTTTTGGGATGTGCAACAAAAAAGGGGTGCCGCAGTAGGCTAGATTATACATCCTGTATAAGCTTTGTTGACACATTGGTGTAACAAGATCATCCTCTATCGAAAATGCAAGCAAAATGAAGAGGCACCACACGGTTATGATAAAGCACAAGCTAACATGTTTTGCATTTTCCTTCTCATACCATGATTCAACAATTTTACATGTTGTATATGGTTTGTGGTTGATCACATTCTGAACTTTGCTGTATCATGGAAGTGTGGTAGAACAGCTGTTCTCCTATGTATAACTTGTGATTTATCTGTTTGTTAATTCCAAATCACTCAGTTTTCTGCTCTGTCTGTAAGTCTTGTTTCCATTTAAATTTTAAAAATGATACATTTTCTCTACTTAATGGCAAGATCTAAACTAAAGATGTTGACCAATCTCCAGCGTTGATCATTAAGGTGTACTGTGTGGCTGAATGGCTTTTTGAGCGTTTGCTTGAACGAATGTAACAGTGTTTATAATGCCAAATGTTTTTTGGCTAAACACCTTCTTTAACTGAGTGATTTAAGTGGATTTTTTTAGTTAACAGTGTGAATGCAACATTTTCAAGTCTAGATTAAGTATGTGTGTGGCCTTCATGAGTGCAAGTCTTAAGTATATATTGTTGTGTATACCAAGGATGTTCCCATTAAACTGCATGTGTTTTTCATGTCAGCACTTGCATTTTCATTCCTTCATGTGCATGTCAAAGAATTCAATGGCCTTCAGCATTTCCGCCGAGGCCTACAACACTGCATGTTCCCCTCTTGACTTGTTCCATGTTGGTTTGTGCATGTTCTTAGAGTTTTAGATCTCTCAATTCTGATACACTGATGTTGGGCTAGGTGGGGGAAGATGGACTGTTTTGTACTCAGGCAGGCTACAGTATTGCTATGTTTCTCTCATACCCAGAACACGCAATGCAGACGCAGACAAACGCTGGAGCCATCGCCGGGGGGGTAATCGGGGTGATTTTGGTCCTGCTCCTCCTAGCAGCCATCGTCTTCATCGTCATCAAGAGAAAAGGACTGCACAGCAAGCAGGATCGGGGCACCTACAGCCCAAAAACACGTGTATTTGGCACTGGCAAGCCATCTCAGGAGTTCACCTACCAAGATGATGGTGAGTTGGACAAACCTCTCAAAGGCCCTGGACCAATGAGGGACAGTGGGCTGAGTCCCTCTTTGGGAGAGGATGAGGATGAAGAGGAAAGGCTGAAGTACAAAGTTCTAGAAGATGATGAGGAGGACGAGCGATTTAACGAGGTGGGGCCCATGCTGCAACTTAGACCCCACCCTCAGATTGGCGCTTATCTGGATGATGACATGGAGTCCCAGACTGATGGCTCTATCATCTCCAGGACTGCAGTGTATGTCTGACACTCCTCTAAGGGGTGCCAATGTATTTGTATCCTCAAGTACCTGGACTTCAGAGAGTTCCTTAACCGTCCCAATTATGGACTGAAGAGTGTGTATCTCTACCCATCCATGCTTCATCACTCATTTTGACTTTATCTAGCCTCAGTGACATCATGAGCCATCCACACTGCAATGTACATGTAAGACCATTTCCCCTTGTATAACTCTACTTTTCAATCAGGTATGTGCAACCCAACTTTTTAAGAGCAGGACATTGTGTATAAAATATCCTGTACCTGTTTTACTGTCCATGCAGGTGCCCTTACAAATGCTCCCAGGGATTGTGGTGAATCTTTTCCATCATTCCCTTCACTTGCCCACCAAAAGTGGATGTGTCCTACTCTTGCTCCCATGGAATTCTATGGACTCTTAAGAATATGTACTGTTCTTTATATAGACTTTGCCTATATCACTGTGCTTCTTGGTGACCCCTCATTATTTCAGGGGGCTGGGGAAGGTGCAGTAGGAGCCACGTTGATTTTTTTATAAATTGCTGTGCCAGTGGCAAAATGCCATTTGCAGTTTTTACTAATATATACCGATTTCATTGATGGGGTTTGCACTAAAAAAAGGACTGATAAAGGAATAATATGAAGGAAATTTTACCTTGGGTTAATAGAGGGAGGGTTGGGGGTTGTTTTGATTTGATGCTATTATTTTTTTGTATTTCTGTAAAAAAAAAACAACAAAAAAACCCTAAAGATTGAGAAAATTTTTAATAAAAATGAAGAAAGATGCCCTGTTTATCAGATCAAGTTGTCTATGGATTTCATTATTTTATGAGAAAAGTTTAAGATGAACTCCAAGCAGATATAAAAACACAATTTAATGCAATTGTTTTGTTCCTTTTAAAATAATTTACATACAACCATCAGAGGTACCCAAATCTGCCTTTTTAATATCCGCTTTGCCCATGAAGCAGAACTTGGACTAGAAGGGGATGGTGACTTATCAGTGAGTTACGGCTCCTACAATGTCCAATTAAAAGGGTTGCAAGAAAAAAGGTGACACTGCTATATTCCTTAACTGTAACAGAAAAACATGTGTCACCCTCATTGCTATACTATTCAGCAGTGGTATACAATTGTGAAAAAGTAGCATCATAGAATTTTATATGGCAAATAAGACCGCATATGTGTATTTTAATCTGTGTATTAAGTCATTGCTTGGAGTTCAGCTTTAAAGATTGTATTGTTTACAGCTACACATTTTTTTTTTGGTTCGGACACCTTGTTTTTATATCAACCTTTTTAATGTGTCACTTCTCATCTCAGGCTGTTACTGGCTTTGTCCATTTTAAATGTCGTGTATGTTCAAAACGTATTGTTTTCTCTGTGATTTGTATATGTCACTGCTTTGATGGCTATGGGCCTTGCTGGAATATGCTATACATGCGCATGATGTTCTTCCGACCTATGGTGATGGCTTGCTCACCACTAACTAAATGCTCAGATTCTCTCATAATGAATTGTTTGGTCATGTGACCCCAGCAATGGCTCTCTTCTGTATAAACCTACGTCATAGACCGTATTGCCTTTTTTATTTTTGGCTTGTGTGTCCTAGGCAGGTGTTCTGCTTTAGGACATTGGGAACATGGCACATGAGTAAAGAGAGCTATTGAGTATTCAGGTTTATACAGATGACTCATAACATGGCATAGGCACAGTCACCTGGCAAAAAAGCTTTTTGCTCAACACCATGGGTTGGAATGCCATTTCAGAAGCATTCTCTATATACAATAGCCTATTGTACTAGCAGTGTCACAGCAGGGAAATGCATGAAAGTCCAACAGCTTTTGATATAATATTTGTTCACAAAGAGGAAACCTAGATCAGCCAATGCATTTCAGGAGTTTAAAGATCTCCCCCTTCCTCAGGGCTTAAGTATGATAAAAAGATTAGAGGACTCAAAAATGGCACAATCGCCAAGGTTTAATTGTTTGCTGCATGAGAAATCCGATCTGACAAAGTATAGTGGATCAATGAATCAGCAATATCTAGGTTGAGTCCTGAAATCTTCCCATCACACTTAAAGAAGAACTTGGGGCACAATTATTAGTAACCCTTGCAGTGGTGCTACCCCTGCTCTGTAAGGGTTAAGTGCTCTAAGGACAAAAATAAGTTGTACTCTCCTGCGCTTCTGAGCTGCCTGGCTGTTTGGTCCATACAGCTTGTCTCCTCCTCTGCTCTAGGCGTCTAAGGTCCTGAGAGTCATCACGTCCTATACAGAGTAAAGGACGTGAGGACGCTGAGGGACATTCTGTCGCTGGAGCAGAGGACGAGACAGACTGTAGGGATTGGTCTAGCAGCCGCGGTTTGGCTATATAGCTTTTCTTATTTTGCATCTGAAAGCGAGCGCTTAACCCTTGCACTTGCAAGAGTGGAGAAGAATTGTGCCTGGAGTTATTCTTCAAGCCCTGATGAAGGGGCAGAACTTTGTACCCTTGAAACGCATTAGCTGTTCTATGTTGTCTTTTTTGTGAACAAATTTCGATATGAAAAGCTGTTGGACTCTCAGACCTTTGTTGGGCGCTCTCATTGGACTTTGTTCATGGGAATCTTCAAATCCGGGCCTCCTGATTTTCAGAGACCCCACTTTTGTTGAGCAGCCTTTCAGTGCCACTGTGCCTTGTTGAAGTTTGATTGATCTTATGATCATTGTAATCCATTACCTCTACTTGTTGCACAGCAGGAAAAGGGCTCATTGGGTCTCTAGCACTAAATAAAATGTTGACCAAAGTTTGATTTGTGATGAGTCTAGAGTTGAGAAGTATTGTAGACAGTGGCGGAACTACGAGGGTCGCAGCGGTTCCGCCACTTGGGGGGGGCCCAGGAAGGAAGGACGGGCCCCGACCGCAGCAGTGGAGTAACAAGCGGGGGGCCCGATGGAGCGGCAAAGGCAGACGGACGAGCGGGAGTTGGTTGCGCCAGTCGCCAGCAATGAATCGGGCGGGCCGGCCGTGAACACGGCCACGGAGAACCAGCAGCAGCCGTCCTGATATTACAGACGGGGCGTCTGGATGTTCCCGGCCGCTGTGCCCCATGGTAGTTTGTATTTTTTTTTTTTACAGCCTGCTTGAGTTTCCTTCAGCTGAGAGGACCATGACATGTGAGGTAAGTGCTTTAGTGCTTCCCATTATAGAACATGGAACAGAACATGGCTCAATTTGGAACTGACCATATTCTATTCCATGTTCTATAATGACATTTGTATTACTAGAAAACTACATCAGCAGATCAGCTGGGACTTGTAGTTCCATGTATGATAGAAGGCTGTTTTAATTACTGTCCTCATGAAAGTACTAGTAACTTGAAAATTAGAACTTGAAATTTACTGCACTATAATGCCATTGTATTACAAGTATTTTCATGAGGAATTAATTAAAACAGCCTTCTAGTCATACAGGGGACTACAAGTCCCAGAATGCACTCACTGTCCATTTACACCTCACATATCACCCAGTGAACTACTGCAGGGGGCTTGCATGCTGTAACTTGTAGTTCCCTGGGTGATTTATATGTGGGGGTGTACAAGGACAATGAGGGCACAATTGGACTTGTAGTTCCCTGGTTGATGTGGAGGGGTGTATAGGGACAATGAAGGCATGTTGGTTGTAGTTGAACTATAACTCCCAGCATGCCTTCATTGTTAAACCCCTGGGGCCTGGAAAGGAAGAAGAGGGCCCAGCCCAGTAACCGCCGAGGCCCTCGACATTGCCTCCTGGGACTACAGCTCCCAGCAGGCGAGTGCTCCGCATCGGGGGGGCCCTTCATGACTTCTTGCACCGGGGCCCTGAGGTTCCTGGGTACGCCTCTGATTGTAGACTTTATTCATATGTCTGTATCTGATGAGCCTAATCCCATAATTGAGGTTGTATGAGAAATATACGCAGCTGGTGGTGGAATGAATCCTTGTGAACAGATGAAGAGGTAACATCCTCTATCCTCACAGTATGTGGCAACAAATGCTGTTGTCATCAGTGTGATGATGGAGAATAAGGATGAAACTAAGTGTATCATGTCTGTAAGCCCTCATTCACACTAGAAAAGGCTGGCACGTACAGCTCTGTGCTGCGTGCACGGCCATATTGGGTAGCTCCGGGAAGGACAGGTGCTGCGTGTGATTAGTACGCGTCCCCTGTCCTTCTCTATGGGAGTAAGCGGCCGTACGGCGCCCAATGCTCACCCCCAATGCAGGTCCGTACAGGTGCGTGTTTCCTGGCTCGGACGCAGACAGGATCCATCCCGTCAGCGTACGGACACGTGCACGGACGTGCATGGCGGGTGAGCGTAGGACGGCGTATGGCCACCTACTCCCATAGAGAAGGACAGGGCCTGCGTACTAATCACATGCAGCACCTGTCCTTCTCGGGAGCTGCCCGATACGGCCGTGCACGCAGCATGGAGCTGTATGTGCCAGCCTTTTTTAGTGTGAATGAAGGCTAACACTGCCGGCTATGTGGTGACATAACAATTAACACAAAAGTAGTTTGATAGTTGACTTTAAACATCCCAGCATGCTTTTTCCCCAGACCTGCTGAATTGGGTTCATGATTTCTGAAGTGAGGCATTTTGCACATGCGTAGATGAAGTAAATGAGGGTCAATCTTTGTATGCTTCAGAATTATGGACTTTAAGATCCATCTGGAAACACTTGTCATAAAGTTTTAATGGTTAGGAAAGAACAGCGCCAGTAACAACCAGTTGTCTACATTTTCCAATGTGTTAAACAGAGTGCAGGCACCATTTTTTCCCAAGTGCCACCATCCAGGGCGCACTGGATAGGCATAATGAAAGTGACACTAAATTCAGGAGTTAAATCTTAAATGTATTCAAGTACCTTTTTAACTATTCACAGAAATGTATCTTATTTGTGTATCACTCGGCTGTAGATCCTCAAATCATCTCTGAATTGGCGCTGACACTGTCCTTCCTTCTGGAGGGTGGCTACTTTTGTTCCCCATGATCCCTGTGTGTCCTGTAAAGTAGCCACCGCTCCAAGCTCGCTCCCGTGATGGACTACAATCTCATGTTAGCTAATTTGTACTGAGATTGCAGTCCATTATGGGAGCGAGATTGGAACAGTCCAACCCTCCAGAAGGAAGGACAGTGTCTGCACCAATTCAGAGATGATTTGAGGATCTACAGCCGAGTGATACACAAATAAGATACATTTTTGTTAATGGTTAAGGTCCTTGCATTTTCAAGGTATAACTCTTGAGTTTAATGTCACTTGAATGTTCTTTGGGTTCCCCTTTTTCTTGGCATTCATGTTCAAGCCTCCATATACAAGATTGAATCTGGTTCCTAAAGGCAATGTCCCTGTTTTTTTAATATACTCTCAAATTATCTCAACCATCAGGCACTATGGGCATCATTTTTTAAAGGATCTGAAGATGCTCAATAAAAACCATAAAAATTGTACACAAGGCTCCTGTTAAAAGATCATTATCTTGTGGGTCAAGCCATCCTGATTTTCCTCTGCAGATTTGGTTTTGACAGATGAAGGTGCATTTAAAGTGAAAAACATTCTTTTTGGTTTTGTATAGAATAGTAGGGATACAACTACGCTTGCAGCCATATTGAGTGGGGCAACTCAGATGAACAATGTGCTGGATTA